ACTGTTTTGTTGTTATAGGCAGGGCCGTCCCTGGCCCACATGAGGCCCCACGCAGTCTGCATGATCGGCCTGTAGGGAGGGACGGGCCTGGTTATAGGTGAAATGTACGAACCCTGTTGGAAGCGAAAGCGAAATCAGAAGGCTCTTACCGTGCTTATGCACAAAAGCTAAGCCAGACAAAACTTGGAACAAAATGTTCCTTATCTCATTTTCAGAAAACATCTTATCTTCCCTGGCAGCGGCAAAAGAGGTAAAAGACAAGAAAACAGAAAAAAGAGGGGGTAAAGATAAAAACACTACGCAAACAATCATGCCTTATTCAAGTGGGTAAAACACCAGCTCACAGTAGCACTAAAGACAGTGTTGAAGGAAGAGAGGAAACGTGTTCAGTTAATCTTTGGTACCACTCACACCTTCTCTCCTCACGGGAGAGAAGTGAGTCATTTTTCAACACATCACAGTTTTAAATGATGTTTTCTGTTTACTCAATTATGAACAATTTATACCAGGACAGTGCTGACAACTTGATAATACAGACACAAAAGGAAGTACTCAGTTTATACTCAAAGGCTTTGCTGTAAGTCACCTACCATGTTTATGAATAAAGGACAGTCCCTGTAATATCTGAAATGTCATGTTTCTGACGAGTGACTCAGGGAACAACTTGTTTCTGAAAAAATCAAGACCGACACATGATGACTCAAGCTGACCCAAATCATTCTCACATTCCCAATGGTGACAACAAAACCCACTGCAAAATGATATGACAAAAAGAACCGTGCACACAGCTGGTAAATGTCTGAAATAAAGCCGTTGCTGTAAGAGGAATTCTTCTTACCTTTCTTTCATGAGCTGATAGAGGTTTTCTTTCATATACTCAAAGACAAAGTAGAGGTGGTCGTTTTCTCTGATCACTTCCCTCAGTTTCACCACATTGGCATGGTTCAGCTTCTTCAGTGACTGAAAACACAAGCATTAAATTATGTAACATAGTCAATAATTAGTCAAATAGCTCATTATGTAGGGACATTTCTCAAATGCCTGAACACAGTGTTTGAAATCCGATACAACATTCGTCTCCAAACAAAAACAAAACATGCCCAGAGAATTTAGATATATATTTTTTTTCATATAGTCTCAGGTAATTTAGCTGATGATCAGGGAATGCAAGAGAAAGAGAACATTTTAAAATGGGAATATTTGTTGTGTTTTCATTTTCAAACAAGGCCAAGTTACGACAAAACCTAGACTCATAACAAATTCTCATTTAAAACTTTTTTTAGAACTTAAAAACTTCAATAATAAATGAATACACCTATTTATATAGTTTCAAACCATATTGATTGTACATTTAAATATCAATCACAACTTGGAAATAAACTATTTTTTCTGTCCTACAGTATTAACTTTACTTGATTATTTGAATGTTATTATTATTATTATTATTGTAATGTCAAAAACAAGCAGAAAACTTGCTTAATATAATAATTACTGACCCGCTGTTGTATCAACTATATTTTTTGTCTATACTAGAATATAATTACTCTCACCTTAACCTCTCTTAGACTCAAGCACTCATCCCACGAATAAAACTTCCTCTTCATTCTGTTAGGGGTGAAAACAGATGTGTTAATTCAAGACTTTCCGACTTCTTTTCAGGGTATGAAATGGCTTCCTTTATGGTGACTATGGGCTCCAAAGAAATGTTTTATCAGCCATAATAGTAGTACAAATAGCATCCCCTCAACATCACTATATTTAAACGTTTGAACTTTGCATGGAAATGTTTCACGTGTGTAACCTGTTTTAACCTTTCCCCTTCTTCCCTCTCATACTCCAGGAGCAACACTACGCGGTGTACTTTCACTTCTTTGACTGTCATCAGCAGTGTCAGCTTGCACTATAACCTTACATTTACAAACAGTGCCTGAAGGAGCCTGGTGAAACATTCATTATTCATTTCTTGCCAGAGATCTTAAACAGCTCATCATTAAAATGAAGTGAACTGTCAAAAAAGGACGTCATGATAAAAACCTAGGATAATAATAATAATATTTATAGTAATACTAATACTACAGTGTCTCTGCATCTTCACAATACGCCTTAAACTTGTCATTCCAGAAGCTTATTTACCTTCAATTCCTACACACTCAAGACTCAAAGGCTTTATTCATGTGATATCTATGATTTAGTTTTGGCAACACAATCTTAAGCCCCAGGCTAGTCCAACAGTGCAACATCAAATATACTCAACATAAAAAAGAAAAAGAGATAAATAAAATGACGCAATAGACATAATAGTGCAAGTAAGTTGCATGAATACGAATAATAACATTTAAAACAGATTAAGATGTAAAACAGAAACAGAATGCAAAATCAAATACTGTATTGAATAAAAATGGTGTATAAAATATCTAATCACATGATGCAGACAAATGCAAAACGTAACTTTTTTATTTATTTTTATTTGAGGATACAACTCGTTAGGGTCTAGATTCCTGAAGCACTCTGAAGCTGTCTCTCAGAGTTTAATCAGCTTAATGCTCCGAGATGAAACCACCCAGTTCGCACTGACCTCTTAATGGCCACCATCTCCCCCGTGTCGTTGCTCTTCCCCAGAAGCACGCTGCCATACGTGCCGTCCCCCAGCTGCCTCAGCGTGGTGTAGCGGTTCATCGTCCACAGAGAGCCCTGCCTCTCCTTCAGCGAGGAGCCTAGACAGTCCCACACAGGCAAACAGTTGGTCATCGTAAGCACAGTAACATCCCTCCACAGATCAACAGACACCTATGCTACTCTGAGGCAACTCAAAGACTCAGCAATAAAACATGAGTGCTCATCCTTTACCTTTCTCTCTGCAGGTGGGTGATTAAGGAAGGTGGAGGTTTACCTGGCGAGGGCGAGTGGAAAAGTGACGCTGCCGGCTGCATGTGTCTCACCTATCCTGAGCTAAGCCTTGACGGCAGACAGAGGAAGGGCTGCGAGGGGATTAGAGCTGACATGTGATTAAGTGCCAGGTAACAGGCTCACAGGAGAGCACTCATCAAGTCCACTTCAAAATAGGAGTAGGACACATGGTGACACATTTTGTCAATGGTGGAAGAAGTAGTTAGATCTTTTAGTTAGGTATCAAAGGTATCAAAATATACTAAGTACATATAAATAAGTGTCATACGTGTCCAGCATAGTGCTACAAGTCTGCATTAATTTGAGTAAAAAGTTCACATTACATGGAAGCTATTGAAATGATCAAAACGTTTTCAATTAAAAAGGTGCTGTTTTGTCATTAAAAACATGTATATTAAATATAATGTACACTAAAATCCAATACAAATAGATGTGTCCAACTTCCCCATTATATATATACAATATACAATATCCTACTTGTAGTAATACAATGATGCATTGATTTGGAGTCACTGGATCATATGACATGTAAGCTATTGAAAGCTGAACAAATCTTCTATTAAAATATTCATGACTATCAGGACACACCAGTAATCAAAAAAGGTTTGCTACAGAAGACACATTTATTATATTTTGTAAGCATAATTTGTACTTTTTATTTATTTTTGCTTAACGTCCAAGCAAGCACGTTGAAATGTTTTTTTTAATAAATCTGGTTTGTGTCATACAAATGGTTATTTATTGATGGTCCCTAAGTGAACACTGGGCTAACCTAATTATACTGTAGTTACTGAATAAATACCTAAACATGTTGTTGTTTTTCTCTCTCCTTTCAAAACAAAATGATGTTGATTGATAATATATACCAGTACATCACAAGCTACAAAACGTTGAATTCTAAACCATTAAAATCACGGTGTATGAAAACGTTATAATGTAGCATCATGTGGCTAGTTAGCAAACAACAAGCAGGCCTGCATAAGAGTAGCCTAGGACTGAAGCTAAAGAGCTAAATAAGCTAACATTAAACGACTGACAAGCCTTGATGTTCAGCCATTATATCTTACAGACACTTCATGTTGGTGTTGCTGTTTTAACCAAATATTTAAACCTTTAAACTTAACTAAAACTGACGTACCATGGGAGGCATTTCCGTGCTGATGGAGGTGATGAAGAGATGCTTCTAGCTTTGTAGGAGCAGTTTCCTGTCTCCTAGGCAACGCAGAGACTTCCACAATAAAAGGAAATACAAATAATACTTAAATTATCTACAAAAGTGTGCACTGTGATGGACTTGAAATAGTATGAAGTATATTAAATAACATTAAAATAAATACAATTAAATACAATTATCTGTATATTGTTTTGTTGTTTTTAACAGCTGTTTTGGTGTTTTAGCAATGACGTCAGTTGCCACTTTTTTTTCAGGTCTGATGTTAGTGTATCAAAAGCAATATTGACCTTGTTACTATTAATAAACATTTACTCACCAGAGATATTCTATTGTTTGATGTTACAATATAGTGCTCCATCTGGTGGTTCATTTTTAAACCTGCATCTGATTGTGACATTGGTCCTTGTAATCCTTGTAACCTACCTTTTTTAGACCCCTTAGTAATTATGTCTTATTAAAATATCATTGTTTTGTAAAGCAGTCACAGTGTATGTGAGTAGACTGCTGTTGGGAGGCTGAACAAAGAAAATCAACAAAAATACTATATATTTGAAATGTAATATAGGCTAAGTGGGGTTTTTCTGCATTTTCTTTGCAAAATGATAAAAAAAAAAAAAAACAGATTATGTTATTGCTAAGACCACATGAGAGCGACCGACAGCCCCTTAAAAATATCCCAGGACGCCAATTTGAAGACCAGATATATCATCCACATAATAGTCTTTTTATAGCGACACTTGACCTGCTTTGAGGCTAAAAATAGGGCTATTATATTTAGATTTTGGTAAATAGCACTTGGATTATGGGAATGTAGGAAACAACTCGCATGCAAGAATAACATAATGAAAAAGCTCATACATTTTTTTTTATATATAAGCCATTAAACGTTAAAAGGTCTAATTTGCACAATATGCCTTGATTATTGTAATGATATGTGTTAGAATTCAAAATATTATCTTGAATACATTCAAATATTAGAACATAATTAAAGAGCATGACTGTGCCTAAACAGATATAAAATAGATCATGTTCACTCTCTATCGGGCAGGAGGTGTCTTCAGGCATGCAATGTGAGGAATGAAAATCATGACCAGCATTCTCGAAATGGCCATACTGTAGTACCGTGACGCGCCGTGCATTGCACCTAACAACTGTGCAGTCAGATTGTTGACTGTCTGCGCAGCGGATAGTCGCGATTTTTTCCAAGGTTGTGCTTTTGGTTACTTACGGTAAGATGGACCCGCAGTGTCCACTAAGGGATCAGGTGATCCACTAACTACGAAGCAAAGGCTGACTGGGGAAAATGCAAAATGACATATAGCAAATGTCGGAGCATAATTCATTCACATTTTCGGCTCAATTTCGGACTTAAATCGCACCGTTGGAGCTCCAATGTGACGATGGCTCGCTAGGGCTGCTGGCGCAACTGCGATTTTTTTGACATTTTAATTTATGAAAAATCACATTCACAGACAAATATTGGTTTCAACATGGGGCTGTGCTACAGTTTGCGTCCCCGGCTCTTCGGGGACCTGAGCGGCTCTATCTCCAACGCTACCTCGGACTCGGACCAGCCTCCGGACGCTGCTGCCGTGCCGACCCGCGCCGGGGGAGCTCGCCCGGAGGACACCGGGGGATGTGGGGAGACCTCGGCGCTGCGCGGCCCGATGCGCCCCGGGGACCCGGCCAGGCTCCCGGAGCAACGCCGTGGAGACACCGGTACAGACGGTGTGCTCATACAGAACGGAGGCGGCGGAGGAGGAGGCGGTGGTGGCGGTGGAGGAGGCAGCGGGAAGGGGACAGGGAAGGACCGTGGCCGACGCTTACAGCTGCTGCAAAAGAATAGCACCCAAAAGCAGAAAAACTGGGACAAATTGCTGGTGGAGGAGAAGGAGGCCGAGAAGGAGGCGAAGAAAGTCAGTAAGAATATTGACAGGGCGCTGAAGGAGCTCAAACGGGAGTACAAACAGACGCATCGGCTGCTGCTGCTCGGTAGGTGCCTCTCTGTTGTTGGACCACCAAGCTGTTTTATTATTAGAAAGAAAAACGTACTGGCCTTTCCAAAAATTATGTCACTACTCTGGCGAGGCCTTATTGCCACCACATCTGTTGGCTGGGTGAAGACTACCCCCTGCGGCTGGCAGTGACAGATGAGGAAGATGTCTCTGGGTCTGCTGTCCTCTTACTGTTTATCATATTACGAGGAAAAGCCATAATTAATCATGTTGTTGGACATCAGAAGGGACCAGTAGCTAAACACAGGTTTACAGAAAACACCTAGCATGTGGCTATTGGGCAATGCCTACTCTGAGAACAGTAAGGTATAGTGTACAGTAGCCTGTATGACATATGACAAATACCCTGTCGAAATACATGTCTAATGTAATATAATAGTGTAGTTCAAACATATGCAGAGTCCGCTTAGTTTTGGTGTATTGGGCCATATTTACTCTGAGTATTTATAGCATAGCATAGTATAGTAGAGATTATTTGACTTCAGATGAGAAATAGCATTTTGAAATAGATTGATAATGTAGTATGTGTAGTGGCTTGTAATGTTGTGTAGTGTCATTGAGAGGTGGCTTTATTAAACACTTGTGTAGACCATTTTCGTTGTCGTTTGGGACATATTTAGTAGTATATTATAGTATAGTAGCCTATAGTAGAGATTATTTGACTTCAGGTGAGAAATACCCTTTTGAAATATATGTAGTATTATAGAGTTTAGTGGCTTGTAATGTTGTGCAGTGTCATTGAGAGGTGGCTTAAGTATACAGGTATTAAGAGAAACGTATTCTGTTAAATATTACTCTGAACATGTGTATTATATAGTAGGCCTAAAGTGTTGTGGCCTGGAGCAGAGTTTAGTGTAGAGTATTGTAGAAAATATCACTTAGTTGTCTTTAGTATTCAAATACATAGAGGGAGCACTTGGCTGCCTATTTGGCCATGTTTACACTGATGATGAGTATAGTACATAATAAGATAGTGTTGTCTATAGTATATGACAACAACAGATGAGAAATAGCCTTATGAAATAGATGCATACTATATTATAATGGACTGTAGTGGCTTGCAATTTTGTGAAGTGTCATTAAGAGGTGGCTTTAGTAAACAAACATAAAGGGAGACAACTTGTCCTTTTAGTTTTAACCCTGGAAGTAAGGATTCGGCTTATAGCATAAAATACAGGACTAAAAAAGCTCATTGTAGGTTATACCATAGTTGAGTGTTGTATAGTTTTAAAGTGGGTATCATTTAGTTGGCTAAAATATACAAATATGAAGGTTAGACCACTTAGCTTTTGCCTATTGGGCTATGTTTACTTTGAAAATAAAAAGTATAGTATTTCAGATGAAAATGGAGTGTAGTTTAGTTTGACAAGACTGCCGTCAATCTGGTAGTAGAGATAACAAATAACTGACTTACTGTTGAACATTTACAGTTTAGTTTTTCAACAAATAAATGTACTGTATAGTAGATTACAGTGTGGTCTACTGGCCGATATTATATATAGGAAAATGCTGTGCAGTGTAGGTGGATATTTTATAAAGTTGAGTAGGTAAAAACATTTTTATTGTTGTGGGAAAATTAGCTTCAGTTCTTAAAATTCTGAATTAATCCACAAAGTATGCTAACACATTGATTCCAATCCTGATCATTAATTGGATGAAGAAACACTCCCTGATTACAGCTTTAAATTCTATATGTAAAGAATTGCTTGCTGTTGAATTTGAGTACAAATGGAGGTATTTATCATAGCTGCTAAATAGCCGTACTGTCATAAATGATCACTTTCAAATCATCAGTTAGGACTCTGGCCCTTGGTTTGATTTTTAGCATTTTATTAAGTAAATGATTATAATTCGATAAAAAAAATAACAATCCCTTTTATTTAATTCATAATAAAAGTATCTTTAGTTGAAGCCCTTATCGGTTTATTTGGGTCTATATGAATTACAGGGCGTGTATCTCTTTGTGGTCATAAATGTTATTGCCTTACTGGAATCTGCTGATAGTTTAAGTCATTTTTCAGACATTGGTCATTAGCAAAACATAATTGTTCCTGGAACATTCATTGTAGTTCTAGATGGATGTGTCAGTCAGGCCAGAGCTCTCTACACTGTTACCCTGCTGTTTACTTAGATTTAGCTTGTTGTTATTTTACCATACGCACAGTAACCATTTCTATATTATATGCGTATACATTACTTTTCAAAAGGTCAATGCTCTACCTTTTAAAGAGAAAGTCTTTACCAGAAATAGGAGCTTTAAGTTTGATCAATGCTACCCTAATGAGGAAGTATTCTAATTGTTTACATAAGTTATAGGACTAAACCTGCACTGTGAAAATACTGCAATACAAGAAACAGTCCTGCATTCATTACATGTTTTTCATTAATATCACGGCTATGTTGCATTTTTTAGGTGTACAGCAGGTGTTTATGGTTATGCTATTTTTAAACACTTCTTCTCATCTTTCACTTTATCAAACATCAGCATCAACATTTAAAAAATCACCACATTTGGAGTAAATATTTTCCACCAAAATGATAAGTAATAAATCAAAATGTATAATAGGATTTTTAGTTTTTGTTAGCAGTTTGAATTTGCAACATAACGAGTAACTAATTGATCAAATAAATGTATTTAAAATGACTGTCAATATTTCCCTCTGAGGTGTAGTATAGTAGAAGTGTATAGAAGCATAACATGTAAATACTCAAGTAAAGTATCTTACATTTGTATTTCAAACACATTGCATGTATTTGCTTTACTTTTATCAAAGTAATATATATATATATATATTTATTTTGTGTTTATAATAAACGAATGCTTGTTAAATTTCATAAGTAAACAGTTGTCACTAATCACACACAGGAAGAAGTGGCTCATCCTAATAAAGTCACACAAGGAAGTGTCATAAATTACAGTTACATATATCGTGTGACCTGTGTCATTTCAGCATGTCATTATGACATTTGGCGGCCTTCCTTAGTATCAGAATGATTTATTCTGTGTCCTGATAAACGCAGTAGTCTCAGCACCAGACACTTTTGGTTTTCTTGAGAGGCTTTTCGAGACTTTATACCCTCCACGTCTCCAGTAGGACTCTTGTTGCATGCCAGAGGTGGTTTGCGTTCCTTGGAAAGTGGACACCTTTCAAATAGTGTTACATTTCAAGGCAACGTATGCTAGCTAATCTGGGTCACTTTATCTGTTTGTATTTGCTGCAGGTATTTAGTTGAGTAACGATAGCCATAAGGAGCTAATGTTTATCCTAAGTGGGCTGACACTTCAGCTTGTGCTGGAGCTGGAAGCCATCATTTGAGGCCTTTTTATTTGTGACTTAGATTTGGAAATATTTTATTATGGAATCACATTTGGTATCCTATGCTGTAGTTCAACTCTCACATTTCTGGTCGTTTTTATAAAATAGATTAAAAAAATGCATTGCATATGGTTTTGTTTTCAAATACAGAGCGTTTAAGATTCAGAAATGACATAACTATTTTCCTTGAAAATATAATCACAATTAAATAATTTACTGATTATATAACTAATTTAATTTCTGAAAGATAGGACTGTTCGAGTAATGCAAAAGTAATTATGACCTTTCCCCAATCCTAAATAAGAGCAGTAAACCAAAGCTTTATTAAAAAAAAGTTTTTTAAAAAGTGGCCTGATTTATTTTGTAAGACATGAGTAACAGACAGTAAATATCTCTCTCAGGCTTATATATATATATATATATATATTATAGAGCTGAAAATACTACATGCAATTCGTCTATCTGTAGGAAATTAATTAGCCATAGTATTTTGGTAATCAGTTTTAAGTCAATTTTAGAGCAACGGTGCCAAACCTTTACTGGTTCCAACTTCTCAGATATTAATATATTTACATGATTTTTTTTGGAAACATTTTGACAAGCATTTTATACTTATTTTTTTTAACATTTTAAATACAACCAATTGATTTATTAACAACATAATTAAATAATAGATATTAAATGTGATACAAAACTTGTGGGTCCCTTAGAAACTAATACAAGACAGAAATAAAGCTTGAGCCCGCTGCCCTTTGTAGTGTTAGACCTTAAGGCTTGTGGATGTATAACGCTGTCGCTTTTACTACCTTAATGGCTCAACATTGTGCTGTATTTATTATATATATATATACATTTGAGACAGCATGAATACTTCTCTTATTTATTTCAAATGTTACCAGGTTAACTGATATTGTGATCATATTTTATCTTAGGGGCCCCAAAAAGTCCAGGCTCATATTTAAGTATTTTAAAAGCCTATTCGATATGAAATAAATCAAGGTAGTTAATTCGTCTTTTAAAGCGAAGCTCAATTTTTTATATTAATCTAAATAGTGTAGAGTTCAAGTGAAGTACATGCTATATTTCTTATCAGTTAAGATTTCATTACATTACATTACATGTCACTTGTTAGATGCTTTTATCCAAAGCGACTTACATACAGTCAATACTGTGGACAATCCCCACAGGAGCAATTTGGGATGAAGTGTCTCAGGGACACAACGACATGCTCACTGTGGGACTCGAACTTGCTATCCCCTGATTCAAAGTTCAGCGCACTAAGTTCAGCACACTATCCCACTGAGCCACAGCCTCATTCTACCTAATATGGACTTTACTTCGTGAAACGCTGTCTTATTTAAAGGCACCATAACCCTAAAATGCTTGTAAAACTGCCATAAATAACTGATTATAAATCTGAATTCCTATTTATAGATTCACATACAGTGTCGGTACCTAGAATGTAAGTGGTTATTTCGTGGAAAGGAAGGGACTTCATTGTTAGGTCTCCTGGATCAGATTTGCTACAGGCCTTTGATAATATCTGCTACAGCTTTCCTAGTAGCCTTAACTTGCTGTTTCATATCTCAGCCTTATCACCTTTCACAAGCCTGAACAACAGGTTGCTAACAATGAAGTGCACTTGCTAGAGCTGAGGCAG